AAATCTCGGACGCTTGCTTTGATGCCAGGCACTTTACAGGAAAGAGTGATTTAATGGAAGCTGCCAGACCTCATCAATGTCAGCGCTCGTGGTGAGGGGCCCCTCCGCTCCACCAGTGTTTTATATAAAAGCTCTGGCGATGACAGGCCCTGATGGACAGATGTTTGCTGGTTGTTTTAACCGCACAGTGAACAGAAACGCTGATTTCATTCTCTACGTCTGACTCTGAAAGGAAAAACTGTGAACCAAAGGGGGCCACCCCAACAGGCTCACCATCTCCGATTTTAGGTCTTTATTAATAGGCCCTTTTTTTTTTCATTTTATTTTAGCTAAGGCTGATAAGCCTGTAATTAATTTGACCATCATTAGGGACAGCCACGCTTAAGGGGGAACCAGCTGGTGATGAATAAAGACTCAAAGGATGATCTGAGCTGCGCGAGAGGGCGGCAAAGAAGAGTGATGGCCAACCAGCCTCCCTGTGATGTGGAGGAGACGCCACTTTGTTTTTTGAGCTGCAGGATAACACCAAGCGTCATTCGTCAACTCCCAGCGCCAAAAAAAATAGAGAAACAAAAAAGTCCACCTTCTCTACGTCTTCAGTAGATCTGAATTGCATTGGAATTGCATCATTAATAGAGCAGAAATGAGCTCGAGCAACTCCGGGAGAATACATTGACCCCTGAGGGAGACTAGAAACAAGACATTGTTTTTACAGGAGGAATATCTAACTAGAGGTCCCATTACCACATCATCAATATACAGCAGCGAGTGAGGAGAGAGGGGAGCAGGAAGGGAGAGGAGGGAATGTAATGGCTTATAGTGCTAATAGCAGTCTGAGCACTCAAGTCCCAAACATTCAGCTGCCTCATCTCATCTGGGCTGTGTAATTGCCCTCCTGGAAGCTGCCACACGAAGAAGCTGCCTTCGTAGTGAAGAGTGGCAGCTGCTGGATGTTGAGGAGCAGACCGAGGTCAGGTCCCTGAGTGGGGCTTTTTGCAGCCACGAGATGTCATAATTAATAGTTATCTGGTGGCCCGGGGGCCAGTTTTGGGTGGGCGCACTGGGAGTTTGGAGTATTTGGGTGAACTGGAGCTAAACAGAAAGCTATGCCAGATTTATTCCACACTTAACATATTGTATATTTATCACGGCGTTGCCCGTAGCCGTCTGTGGAGCATCCTCTGTTTTCCAGGGATTATTCCCACCCCCCCTCTTGTTTGTATTAAGTTCCCCATCTGTATCTGAATGCACCTAGAGATATATTGCTGTGGTGTGCCATGGGAACTTTTTAATCTTTGGGGACCAGCGTTTTCCCTTGTTAAGTAAATATACATGAGCTGCTGTGCAAGAAACAAGCTGCAAGCACCTTCACACGCAAAAAAAGTGTTACTTCAGCTTCCTTTTTTTTCTTTTTCTCTTCCCGTCCTCCTCTCGTTCTCGCTAACGCGTCGCCTGGGGGCAAATCTCACTCTGTCTCATCTGCTGCTTAATTTCACTGGAGCGGCCCTCGGTAATGAAGCGCCTTGATGTACATTTGCCAATTTCTGCCTCTGCCACTGCRATATAATTGGGATGTGACTAAGCATGAATACCCAGCACAGGGTTGGTTGACCTCTCGACGACCCTGCGAGTGGTGCTTTTGTCAAAATGGAGGTATTATCTCACATAATCTGGGAGTGGAGAGAGATTGTCTGCAGGGTGCCTGCGATGGAAATGAATTCATGTTGCTCCCCACTCCTGCGTACCACGGAGGGGGGATGAAAAAAAGTGCGAGATACATTTTTTACACGCTCATAATGAAGACATTTTCCTCTTATCTGTTGTTGCTTTGTGTTTATTAGAGGAGAGCAGCTTCTGGCAAAAGTAGGGGTGCCCCCCCCCCCCAATTTCACTTAGTTTTTCGAGCTAGAGAGGATTTCTCTATGTGTGTGTGTGTGTGTGTGTCAGTCATTTCCCTGCGTGGGTGCACTGTGTATTCTCATGTTGGTGTGTATGTGTGTCCATTAATGACCCTGTAAAATGACAAGCAGGGCTGGCAGAGAGAGTGCAGCCGCTCGGCAGTGACAGAGAGAAGGTGGAGGAGGCAGCAGAGTTCAGTGGCTGCGAGGTCGCTGGTTGGTGTGATTCACCATGCTGTCATCACAGAGGGACGGAGGCCCCTCGGTGGCCCTCTCTATTCCCACCTGAGAGGCCTGCAAATGGRGGGGGCCACGCTGTCATTATTTACAGCCCGCAGCTCCTAACCTTGAATTCGGAGCTCATCACCGCGAAGGGAAAATCAGATTGGACTTGACGTGTACCCAAGCCAGTGACCTTGATAAGTGTGAGGTGCCTGCAGCAAGAGGTTAGGGAAGACGAGCTCGGATTTGCACGTATGTCCGTGAGTKTGTGTGTGTGTGGGCACGTTTTTGCTACATCGCGGGAACCAATTTCCAGAAAAACGCAGCCTTGTGGGGACCGAATGTGCATCGTGGGGACCAAAGCCCAGTCCCCACGAATACTAAATTCGGGTAGGGGGTTAGGTTTAAGTCCAAGGTGTGAATTGAGTTTAGGTTAGTTTTAGGGTAAATGGTCAGGGTTAGGCTATAAAATTACCAAAAAACGAAAGGAAGTCAATCCACGGTCCCCACGGGGATATAAAAGCAAACCTCTGTGTGTGTGTGTGTGTGAGTGTGTGTGCATGTTTGTGTGTTTCAACCAGGTGGAGTTGGAGACGTGGTTGAAAGACTGAATCATGACTCAAGATGACACGTGGTAGGGCTGCTCATGGACCAAAATACAGAAGGCAAACATCACTTTTACCTCAGCTCATTTTACAGGGAACACAACACTAACAAGATCATTAGAATGGGCACATTTTACACTGAAAACACAGTTTGATACAATCTTCCCCCCACAGTGTATAAAATTCTTGATAAATCAAAACCCGATGCTTTAATCAAAATAAAGCAACATATCAAACGGTAAAACTTCAAAATTTAATTGAAATATATAAATTAAATCTCTTTTTTTAAATTGCTCGACATATTACAAAAAAGTCTCCTTTGCTTGTCATGAATAATTAGGCTGCTTTGCAATAAGTCATTGATAATATTTATCTTTCAATGTTTAGAGAAGATAGGGAGACTCATCGCTTCTGCTCTTTTAAGACTAAATGAGGGGCATTCGTAAATTCAAATGATAAATTTGTTTGAGGGTTGCTTCCTGTAGGATCTAGCCTGTGTGCACAATTAAAAAGCCAGCAACTATGATTATATGCATGTCGAATGAGACATCGTAGAGTCCCAAATCTTATATAATAAAACAGCACTTAACTGGTTTTCCTGCAGTTCAGACATGTTGCCAATATTACGTAATTGGATCAAATAAATAATAATCAATAAAACTAGCGAATAAGTGCTTACATTTTTAGAAGTCTTGCTTAAAAACCACATTGATCAATAATAATTAAGAACTACAGGATGTACTGTAGTTTTTCTAATTTCTCCATTCCAACTTCTTTTAAGTGGTTATTATGCAAAATCAACTTTTTTGAGCTTTATATCATTTATGTCGTGCCTTCATCAAAAACATACCATGTTTGAGAAATCCTTGAATCTCCTGTGATAGCCATGTGGAGCTACTGCTAAATGCATGCTGGTACAAAGCTCCGCCTATTTACACAAAGCTCCTCCCTGGAGCTCAGTCTGCACCTGAGCTCCAGTCCCACAGAGCCCCCCCTTCCCCAAAGCATTGTTGTGAAGACGTGCTGAAGTGGGAGTGTCGGAAATGGTAGGAGGGTTTTAAAGAGACAGAGGCCAATTTCAAAGTGTTTTTGATTTTGACAGCCTTTTCCTAAAGATAACATAATCACTTGATTGTGGAATAGAACTGAACTATGTCCATAGAAAATACATAGCACCCTCCCTTTAAACATATTGCTGACTTCAACTATAAAACAAGGCTTTATTTTTAATGGAAAAACACTTTTTTTATTTTCATTGATTTCATTTCATTTAATTATTATTAGATGTTGTTTGTACATTTCAGACAGTATCCCAGTTTTTGTATTTTGTTTCAGATGCAACATTTATTATCTCTGTATTTTATGTTCTTAGATTAAAATGTATTTATATGCATATTAGATTGTATTTAGTTTTATATTTTTAGACAGAAATGCTAATATCTACCCTCATTAGCAGTTTGTTAACAATCAACCTTGTGCGGATAACTAATGCTCGCTTTGGTTTAAATAATGAATCTCTTCTTAAGCTGTTGGTTTTCCATTTGATTTATTTTGTTTTTTTATTCCTTTGATTTACTTTTCTAAAGAGCCGATTTAGGGGGAAATGGTGGGTACGGCGAGACGAACGATGATGAAAACGCAGTTTTCTTCCTCCATCGAGATGCTTTTTGGTGAAATGATTAATTTCACACGTATACAGGTCATCTCCAAAAGCAGCAGCATCTCATTCACAAGGGGCCCCCGTCAGCAACAAAGCTGGAGGCTGCAATAAAATAAGCAAACAGCAGCAACGTACTGCACGTCAATAAATCTTTGGAGGTTAAACCTGAGCAGCTTCGTTGCCTTTCGTCAGGTAAAAGTCACAGAGTGCATCGAGACTGTCGAGACCCAAAGAGGGGGGAAAATATTTTTTTTAAAAGAGGAGAGCAGTTCGGGGAGTGTCCTGTGGCAGCGGGTGCATACTCACACACAGTCTGTGTTTGCATAAGATGGATGAAGCCTTAAATTACTGGGTTTGTGTAAATAAGGAGATTAGACTGTTTTTAGCACACAGGCAGGAAGGAGAAGCGCTCGTATGAGAATAGTCTCTCTGTGTGCTGTGGAGTTGGGTTTGGGGTTGTTTACGACAGCTCGCAGCTCTCATATATCACAAGCAGTATGTTTGCTGTGAAGCTACAGTTTGTGTGCCATCTGCCTTTGCTGAACTTGACCCCTCAAACAGACTTATATTTGTAAACGGAGCTCTCTGTAACTGTCTTTATTTTCTCTTTCCTAGTGGATGATCCAGAAACCGCACAAGGTGGCTACCTTCTTTGGGTGCATCGGCAAAGACCACTTTGGGGAGATTCTGAAGAAGAAGGCCGAAGAAGCCCACGTCGATGCCCATTACTATGAACAGAACGAGGAGCCCACCGGTACCTGTGCAGCCTGTATTACAGGGGACAATAGGTTAATATTATTTTAAAATAAAACATTTCTCAAGAGCTTCTGAAAGGGTTGGCACCTCTAATTACCCGTGACCAAGACACAGCCCTTATTTTGTGTTATTTTGACCGTTTTTCAGGTATTTCAGGCCTGTCAGGATAACAAATTTTGCTGGATGATAAATTTTCTCTAAAATTATTGCAATAAATGATAATATCGTTTAAAGACCAGATTAAACTACAATGAAAATAATGATCCCCACCTCCCCAGACAGTATAATTTATTATTCACTAAATAAATATAATATTTTGAGGTTAAAATACGTTGTAATGCTTTTACTGTAATTTACTTAACTTTCCTGTTTTCTTTGTACTGAAATATTATATGACATACCTAAATTTCTCAATTTTCCAAAAGTATGTATTTGCCTGGTGCACTACAATTTGGCTAGGAAAGATTACAACATATGACGGCGGCCGACTAAAACCCTGCGTGACATTTTCAGCAGTTATGCTTAAACGTACATATATACCATACCATGCCTCTTTTATTTATAAAGCACTTTAAACAGCACAAGGCCAACCAAAGTGCTGTACAGTAGGCAGACACAACAGGACATAGTCAAAATACAGATAAAAATATGGAGCATTTATATTTACAGTACACACAGAAAAGAGTTATGATACACGGTGAGGTTTTACACCATCTCACTCAGACTCAAAGGAATTCAGTACTGTTTTTAAGCAAGACTTGAATACAGGAAGGGAAGAGGACTGTCTGACATGTAGTGGTAGATCGTTATATTTTATATAACCACGTTATATATGACATCATTAATTTTAAAATCAGGTCAAAGTTACTTACAGACAAGAGAATTGCAGCTGTGTACTTAACCAGTTAATATCTATTGTGTTAGAGCAAATTATGTAATTTTATTGGTGTGTGTGTGTAGAGGGGGAGGTTATTGACTGGATAAACCTATTGTAGGGGGTAACCCCCACCCAATCCCCACCCCACACCCCCCTCAAATTATGCCCATGTATGCCTTTTTAAAATTTTTAATTTATGTACATAAAAAGTAAGTTAAGAGCTGACCTGGACCAGAGACCATGTGCCTGGTTAATACCTGACTCAAGAGTTCACTCCTTTTTATGTTAAGGAATAGAAAAGAGGGAGACACGAAGGCAAACAAGTAGGATAATGAAAATTATTGACCTCATTTTAATCTATCGTGCAGTTAATTGATTTATTGGTTATCACAACAGGCCTAATTTGATTTCTCTCAGCTGGAAGTCATAACAGAGAATCATTAAGTGCACACTTCATAGAAAAAAAGAACAGCTTGAGCTTGTTTTTCCAGGCCCTCACTCAGTCTGTGCAACCCCAGCGAGTTGTCATCCATCTATAGGCTGACAGTAGCAATGTGTCAGAGATTGCTGGGCTAGCCCAGTTCTCACCTGTCAGCCTTCTCCTGTAGAGAAAAAAAATAAGAGGGGGGCTTTAGCATCTCTGGCGACTTTCACTCCAGCATCATCATCAGCACATCAGAGACAGCAGAGGTCAAACTCTGCGCTGATACCCACAAATATCGCTAACATTAAAGGCTGCAGTTCATGATAGGCCGGGCGTCGATCAATAACCTCCTTCTCTAAACACTCCTCTCCTCTGCAGCCTTTTATCCACACGGATACTGCAGTTGTCAGTCAGTCAACCGCTGGACCCTGACCACCCTGGGAGGCAGACTCGGTGAATGGTCTTAGTGGGCTTGTTTGATGTGGGCTCTGACACCTGAAAAGGTCAGGTGCCGTGCTCAGGGAGGCGAACTCTGTAATATTTCTTACAGGTGTTTAACCGACAGCTCGGGAGGCTGGAGGAAAGGTCGTTGGTGGGGCGAGATTGGAAAAGTGATGGCTTTTGAAGGACAGGGAGCAAACATGCCACAGCCTCTCAGATTATTAGTGGAAGTCATCCAAAAAAATCCCACCTACTCAAATCTGAGAGTTTGAGTTCCTGTCTTTTTTTAAAAATAAAAATATGCATGTTTAACCTCATTTCAAGCACCTTTTTTCCCTCTATGTGCAATCAAAGAAACAATCAGTCAGTCCCTTCAGGATCTCAGACTTTGCATGATTGCTGCCCAAAATTTAACATCTTATCATTTTTTTGTAAAGCCCTAATAGCTTCATGAAAGTAATTAAAGTTAATTTAATTAAGCATAATATTTCATAATAAGTTTTTATGTGCTGATTACAATCACTTGAGTGCTGGCAAATCTTAGTCGGAGGACATTCAGCTGTCAAAAAAGAATCATTTCCATCAACTTATAAGGAGATGTTATTATGAGGCTCAATGCTTGATTTTTATTTCACAGTGAGGTGGTGGGACATATGCTCCTCTGATATACGTGCAGTAATTTGAACTTTATTGTATAACATTTAGCATACTTTATATTCTGAGGTAAGCACGAATATAAGACATAAGACAAATTGATGGAAGAAAAAAGATTTTGATACCAAACTCCCAGGCATATTATAGGTATTTTTAACAGATTATGTTAATTTGTTTGGCTGTTGGTAAAGTAATTCGTTTTTGTTGATGAAATCCAAAAAGTTTGAAGGATTCAGGTTTGTCTTAAATTTTAGTTTTGTTTTCATTTGTTTGTTTTGGGTTGAGATTCTCCCACTAAACTGTGCCACCAAGTTTTCTTAATGACATATGGAACACCTTTATGTACAAATTTAACGGTACTTGTGTTTCACTTAAATTCTTAAATTATGCTCATATTTTTGCTCTACAAAACTGAGGAGGTGTGTCTTGTGTTTTCACTTCATCCTCTGACTTTTGTTCAGTGGGTACTGTCTAGTTACACATTTTACGCACAAAACATAAAAAGCTTACATATTTTTACATTTTGTCTTAAAAGCACACATGAGATGTTGAGTTTATTAATGAATTAGCTGATAGATTGAGTTAAATAAATATTGTGGGTGAGGGTGTGAATGGTTGTTTCTGTGTTCCTGCGTCACACTTCAAGCCAAACTGTGAGCACAAAATCTATCAAATCTAAAACGGACAAAAATAGTTTATAGTATCTTCATGTATCACTTCTTAGAGCTGTCTGACCCACTTTTTTTCAGTGTTCCTACGACTAAGTGTGTGAATGGCTGTGATGGTTGTGTTTTATTGTAGCTCCAAAGTGTGAAACACAGAGAACAACTAAATGTGAACGCAAATCCTTAGTAATAAAAGGTGCAGTGAAATATTGTATTTCACGTTGCCTTTTTCTGGAAACTTTTATGTTACTCACTTCTTGTTAGTAGCGGCAGATGGTAGCTAACGCTAATTGTTTTTTTTTTTCAAATTGCATTTGGGTAAGTGTGGACAAGGGTGAGCACAGCTAACCAAAAAGTTAGGTTCACTAACTACTAATCCACTGAATTTAGCTCCACTAACACTAAGCTGTTACAGATTAAAAAATAAAAAAAAATTAGCGGAAGCTAACAGCTAAAATGACTGTCCATCAGCCTGTCTTCATCTCCTTCCAATTAAAAACTGGTGGGACTGATGCAAACCTGTTTGTTTTCTAATGGGTAGAATCATCTGTGGCAGATTGGTCAATCCAAACCAGAGTTATAGCTCTGTTTAACGTCTTCCAGTTTACTCCTTTCAGAATAAAAGCATTTTATTGAGTTTGCATTTATATAAATACCATTTGAAGTTTGTCAAACAACAAATAGCTAATACTTCCTCTACTGTATTTCAAACATAGTCAGTTTTTGTATTCATTATTTAAATTTTAAATGGTAAATGGCTTGAACAGCACTTTATTAAGTCCATATGGACCCCAAAGCGCTTTAAACTTATGTCAATCACCCATTCACATATATATTCACACACTGATGGTGGTAAGCTACATTGTAGCCACAGCTACTCTGGGGCACACCAACAGAGGGCTTCCATGCACCGGTGCCACCGGACCCTCTGACCACCACCAGTAGGCAAGGTGGGTGAAGTGTCTTGCCCAAGGACACAATGACTGAGACTGCTGGAACGGGAGATCAAACCGACAACCTACCGGTTACAGGACAACTCCTCCACAGCCGCCCGATTTTGTCACATGTTATTTCTTTTTGACGCTTTTATTTTGAAATTTAGCTGCTAAAGATACTATGCTACACATGACATGCACTGCTTATAAGGCAGAATAATTGACTTTGCTTTGGGGAAAAATCACGTTTAAAATATAAGTTTTACACTTGTGAATTTTTAGCGTACTTTAAATTAGCATAGCCTCTTTTAGCGGAAGCTAATCGTTCACTAATGTTTTTCAGAATTTTGACGTCATAAAAGCTGCAATAGTTTCTAAATACTGGTTTTCAGTGCAGAATAAGCTGCGGTCTGGGTGCTGCACTTCTGCATTTCAAAGTTCCACCTTTTCTGTTCCTCAACATGTTATTAACTTAAATTATTTTGACATTATACAACAGATACAGAATTGTTCATGTCAGCATTGCGACACATGAAAAAATAGATACTATTCCCCCCACCTTTACTGGATGGCTTTTTTTGTTTTTAAGGATTTTATTTTGAAGCATTTTTTTTCTCTTTTTGAATGGCTAAAAGTGGCACTTTTGATATGACCTTTTTAAATGTATCATATCACCAGATGTGTTTGTTCTCTCGTAGTGCTCTTCTGTGCTCATATCTGTCGGGACTCCCTCAGTAATGACACTCGTTGTGCCTGTCATGTTTGTCCCAACCTTTGAGTCCATTACCGCAGCTCGGGTCAAACGCAGTCCCCGTCCTGCTGTCACATTGTAGCCTTCGTCATCACACTTCTGATCAGCTTAGCACACTTCTGCTCTCCTCTCAGACACAAAACGTGGCCAGCAGTTTTTTTTTCCTCCCCTCGCTGTATGAGGACAGACTCCTTCCAACACCCTCGTATGGTCGCCTAACAGTTTCCCCCCCTAAGTAGCTATGATGGGTGCACTCAGTTTGATGGCCGCTCATAAAGAGAAAGAACATGAGGACGGGGTAATGAGCTATGTTAAGATAATGCCACCTGCTTCAATCTCCCACTACTCACTACTCAACTAAAGTGCTCATTTAGCAATGCGGTTTTGTTGTTTTTCAACCCTCGCTAACAATGAGCCACTTTTGCTGCTGATATGATTATACGAATAATTTCAAGGTGGCCTATTGTTTATCTCAAATATTTTATTCTAATGTCAGATTATTTCAGAATAAAGACATCCAGGTGACTTTATGTTAATTGTGGTTCAGAAACTCAAAGAAGATATTATCATCCTTTTCATATCTCCAAAAAAAAAAAAAAAAAAATTGCAGGCTTTGTGTCTTTTTTTTCTTTTCTTTTTTTTTGAGACAAAATTAAGATGGATGATAAGCGAGGCAGAAGATTTATGGGGTCTGTCTCGGCAGGTCCCTTGTTGCTAACCTGGCAGCGGCAAACTGCTACAAAAAGGAAAAACACCTGGACTTGGACAGCAACTGGGAGCTGGTGGAGAAAGCCAAAGTCTATTATATTGCGGTAAGTGAGACCCTCTACACTCAGAATGACTGTTCCCAAACTCTGTTAGCCAGAGGAGGACAAAATGTTAAGAGGCTTTATTCAGGAAATGCCTCAGCACGCCTTCTGCATTGTCAATATATCTATTCATCCTTTTGTTGAATGAAATGAGCTCTGTTACCTATTGAGACAATACAGCTCCATTTTCCCTCTTTTCCCCTCGTCTTTGTGCACGAAGCTGCAGCACAGTGTGAAATTGTTCTGCATGTAACGTATTCATTCATTTCTTTTAACATGAAGACAAGCCAACAGGTGCTGCCAAAGTGTGAAAATTGATTATGCAAGTTCATTGGGCTTTAGCCCCCGCCTCCTCTCCCACACCATCTTCCGCCTTGCAGACAAAACATGCGCACAGATTGACGGGGACAGATGTGCGCCGAGACATTTGCACACACTCTGTCTCGCGCTGCGCCTCTGAGGTAATGGCTTCCCTCGCGCCTCCTGGAGAAGGATGGACGTCCACGCTCACGTTTCACTCTCTGGGATTACGTCTTAATTCCGGCAGATCAGCGGCTCCCCTCATCTCAAGTCAAGGTGATAGCCCTGAAATTGCGCCGCATTCCGCGTCTTTAAGCAGTTCGTTAGTGGTATAAATCAGCGTTACAGCCTGGTCGACACAATCCTTGGGATGCTGTCCCATGTGAAATTCACAATGCTCCCCCTGTTGTCCACCAGTCAGTCCAAACATCGGGAACTGGACCGTCGGGCTGTGATGATGGAAGTTTCATGACTAACCGTCTAGTCGCGGAAGCAAACACCCCAAAATAAATAACATAAAACGCTGTCAGTGCTCGAGCCAGAAAGCAGATCAGTCCGTCCATCCTCCGGAGTTTGTGTGGTCTCATTTTTTAAAATTATTTATTTATTTATTTATTTTAGCCTCTGCTTCACATTAGCAAACATGGCACATCCTCTGCAAATTGGCAGTTGGGTTTTGCCCACATCCGACCGTCTTGTGCACAGGGAAAAGCTTCCGTGGGATTCGAGGGGGAAGATAGAAGGCACCACAAATGGGTGTTTGTCAGTGCTTGGAATCTAAAACGCGGTGCTCGGTGTCCCTCTTGGGCCTCTTTGTCAAAACAGGGGCTTGGGGTGGGGGATCATTCGCTTTATTAGAGTCCCATTTGCACTTTTAAACTGCTTATCCAGATACACTGCCACAGCTATCCCCGCTTAATACTCTGTGTCGTGTCTAGACCAACATACACTAAGGCCTTCTGGCTTCATTAACCTTGTCGAGAGCACTTAGGCGCGTTTACCAAATTTACAGCCAGATTGTAAATTTTTCACTCCTCCCCGCACTAACCTTTCTTGTGTGTTGCTGTGCTCGGTTGATTATTATTATTTTTTTATTAAATTGCTGCGGTCGTGTGCACTCCGATCCGTGGATTTAATTACCAAAATGTGCACGCGTGCGTACGCTAGCATGTTGTTCTGCTCGCACATGCGTCCGCATTCGTCGGAGCGTGCGTTCACGTTAAGGAGCTGATTGATGATTCCTGGCAGAGGCTCTCAAGGTGCCTGCGTTCGATGGGGTGTGATTGGATGAAAACAGAATTATTAGAGGGCTCTTGCAGCCAGACTGGCTCATCCAGCAGCAGCGGCGGCGGCGGCAGAGCTGGTGGCAGACGCAGAGCAGGGAGGCAGCATTGCCATTTCTCACAAAGAGAGAGAATGTTGAACTCCTGCCAAATGTTTTGTGGCAGGCTGTTGCTAGGAAATCTGGGTCCTTAGGCAAATCATTACACAAAGACCAATAACAAAGGCGAGGAGAAGGAATGGCTAAATGCATTTCAGGCGCATCTCTCTTTTTCTTTCGTCTTTTTGTTTTTTGTTTTTTTGCAAATGCCATCACTGCTGCCGCGATGTGCGCAGTTATTTCTCACCCTGACGATTGTAAACATCAGAAATGGAGGTATTGTCGGAAGAGAAAATGAGTGACTCTAATTGGTCAGGGTGATTTGTGCACGCTGGCCCAGTTAGCCTCGTCTCTTTCGTCCCCTTTTATTTTGCTCCCACTTTTTTTTCGAACCCCCCCCCCTTTTTTTTGCTGTCTCCCTCGCCTCTCTCTTCCTCTAGTCTCTCAGACACACATAACATTTGCTGTTAAACACTCCCAGCATGCACGCACACATTCTGCAGCATACCACTGGCTTGTTTTTCTTACCACCGAGCGCTTTGCCCTGTAATTTGATCTCCACTGCTTGATGCATCTTCCACAATGCCACTCTGAATTAACCTATGTCTCCACAGCTCTCCTTGGTTCCCGCTAATAAAACGGCCTCTAAAAACGTACTCCGTTTACGTTTAAGAGTTTTAGGGGGGGAAAAAAAAGCGCTCCATCCCTTGGGCGCGCACAATGTAACTAACAGAAATGGAGAAAAGGAACGAGACAATTGACTGTGAAAAGGCCTGTTAATGACTGGGCACAGATGGTCAGAAAATAACCCAAGGATAGACGAGGAGACACTTGCCTCTGCCAACTGGCCTGGTACACAAAACTCAACCAATGAGGCACAAGCTGCACCGTAGTTAGGTCACAAATCTGATCACAGCTGTTCATTTGAGCCCCACATGAAGAGTGCAATCACCGTTAGCTTGCAAGTGGTTAGCCACGCCCGAGGAGAGCTAGCTCGCCCACCTTTTTTTTCTTTTTTTTCTCTCTTTCTCTCTTTTTTTTCTCTTCAAACAGTGTAGTAAGTTGAACCAGAACGCCTCACACTGTTAACACTGGCACACTGTATACAGCATTAATTGGCAGTTGTGTTCTTGCCCTCACTGCAGGGGAAAACGGAGTTCAGCTTCAGTCACTGTAGCATAATATGCAGGGGGGTGGGGGGGGGCAGGGCAAAGGCAGGAAAGAAAAACGCAGCACTGGCACCACAAGCAGAACGTCAGCCTGCTTAAACCCCAGAGTGGCACACACACACATACAAACTTGTTTTATGTACTTGTGGGGCCCGTCTATTGACTTCCATTCATTTTTTGGTAATTTTATATCCTAACCCTGACCACAAACCCTAAGACTAACCTCACAGGTACCTACCTACCTGACCCTAAAACTAACCTAAACTCAATTCACACTTGGTCCTAAACCCAACCCCCACACCCAAAATTAGCCTCCGAAGTTGTGGGGCCCAGGC